GGAGCCCAGGCTTAACAGTGGACAGGGAGTGTCTAGCCGACAGGTGCGGGCGCTGTTTCTACGCCAGGTTTTTGGGTGTGTTTGTGCTCAAAAATCCACTAACATGTGGCGGATGGTCGTTCTGCGGAAAATCCCCACTGGTTTCTCCCTGGCTGAGGGTTTGTTTGAAACTTGGGGAAGGATAAATATCAAGTGTGCATCTATTTTTTTTTGAGAAGTTGAAAGAGCGCGTTTTTTAATGATCTCTCCCTCTCTCTCTCTCTGTCTTTCTTTCTTTCTTTTTCTTTCTTTTCTCTCTCTGCCTCTCGCCTATTTGATAGAATACATTTCATGTACTGCATTGTAATGTGTATAGTGTATAGCGTATAGATTATATATACACCTGGTTGGTGCTTTGGAACATTTTTTATTTTTCCATATATTGGGAATGTCATCATCCCAACTGACGAACTCATATTTTTCAGAGGGGTAGGTCAACCACCAACCAGACACATGTATGTTATGTTTGCTGAATGCTGAAGACATCTGCCGGTTGCGACTGTCCGCGGGCTCGATGGGTGATCGAGCCCAGAGGATCCGTGCGATTTTCGATCGCTTCGACAAGGCCTGGATGTTGCGGTTGATGATGGGATACAAATATAACCATTGTTTTAAGGGTCACAAAAAAAAATATATCCCAACTTAAAGGGGTAATTACTATGATTATATAATGTTATATCTATTGATAACCCCAACTGCACCACGTATAATTCCAGATGTCAAGTGCTTTGAATCATTGAGTAGGAGGCTGGTTTTTTTTTGAGAGCTCGAGACCAACAATTCACTACTTCAGAAGGGGGAATCTAGGCTTAGCACCAGTTCACCCCATGATAGAAGGCCTACACCATGTGTAGCATGGTCAAAACCTGGATTATTTTAATCCATATTGGGGGTCTTCAATCCATTCATACGGGGGTCTTCAATCCATTCATACAGATCTATATATACATACATACGCATATATATATATACCCATTGTAAAGAATCCTTAATAGTGGGATGACCACAAGCCACAAACCATTCATCCCACGCAACTTGACCGAAGCGCACCAAAAACACGGTGCCCATCGATACATCCCTTCAAGTCAGCACATCGCACTGCGACAGGACAGTACCGGTTCCCTAAATAGGCTCGGCCTGTGGACCCACCTGGAGACTTTCAACCGTTACTGGAATCTTCGCCTCATGGATCGGCAGGAGCGGCTTTACTAATAAGGAGCCAATGACTTGAAGCGGATTATTGTTGGTGACTTGAACCGGATTTGTGGAGTGGATCCCATCTTGGCTCCATCTTGGCTCATAGAGCTGTGGTCCACATGACATGCCACATGACAAATCGACATGGAAATGGCCACATGCTATGGATGGCGGCCAGTTGGGGATGATTATCCGATTACCCTCATGTGATAGGTCAAAGCCGATAAGAGACCAAGTTAGTTAGTTGAGTTGTAGGTATATAGTCTTGTCTATGTTAAATTCAAATGCATTTTAGAGTATTGCTTATGGGGATATATAGGGATACAACCCACCACCAACATTGATTCAGATCCAATTGCAACTGGTGCTTGGGACTATCATTTCTGTTGTTAAGAGAAAAGGGATCCCAACTGTAGAACATCTAAACATATCACACAAACACACACACAGATATGTATATATATATATATGTATGTATACATGTATGTATATACACATGGCCACTCTTACTTGGAAAGAGTTGTGTCGTGATACAGCCTTAGCAGTTGCCACGAGAGATCTGACTAAGCTGGGAATCACTTTTCAATCCAGACAATGATTATTGATGCGATTGATTCCCAATGATTATTGATATACTGTATATATATGTATATATATATATTTGATTATTGATATAATTATATATATATGTAATGTATACACACATAGATTGCTCAGATTACTACAACCAACTAACCCATTAATTGATAGTGATATAATCCAGCCGGGCCATTTTGAGCCCTTTGGCCGTCCCGGGAGCGTGCCGTGCACCATGGAAGAAAGTCTATGGCCTGCCCCCTGCGCTTTGGCAAACGCTGGAGCCTCTGCTTGCTGCTGGCGGTTGGCATCACCGTGAACCACGTGGCGCCTTAGTCAAGCAGAGTTAGCTGTGTGGAGCCAAGGACGGCCTTTTTAGGACTACCAAACCACTCGTTGCCAGCAATATTGAGCCATGGGCGTGTCTCAAAATGTTACTTTTTTTTCCCTCATCTATGGCAATCTTAATGGGAAAGCCATTTTTTCATCCTTGGTCCCTAGGTTCACCCTTTCTGACAAAGCCCTAAAAAAGATTCACCCACGAATACTCGGTGCAGTTTCTGATCCATAACCGTACGAACTTGTGAACCTGGGGATATGAACAAGTGGCGAAAGTCAAAAGCCCGGGGTTTGACCCGAAGGTGGTAGACGGTAGACAAAAATCATCCCAGCAACATTTGAGGCCATGAAATCCATGCCCAACCTGCGCTTCACGCAATCCGATCTGCCCCACCAGCTGGACCACTTCTTGACACCAGCAGAACCATCCGCTGCGATTGATGTGCCATCCGCTGCGGAGGATGTCGTTGTCGTGGATGCAACTGCGATGACAGATGTAGCAACCTCCACCGTGACGGAGCTTAACGCACCATTGGTGGGTACAACAAACGCCGTGTTGACAGTGGTGGATGCAACAACTTCCACAACATTGACGGGGATTAGTTCAGCATCTGCAGATACAGCAAGTGCTGTGTCGAAAACTGCGGATATAGGAACTTCCACAGCGTTGACGCAGATAAGTACAACACCCTTGGATACAACAACTTCAATTTTGACAACTGCAGATGCAGCATCTTCTACATTAACGGTAGTGGAGGTTAGCACAGCACCTGCAGATACAACAAGTTCCTCGTTGACCACTTTTGATGCGGCATCTTCCGCTACACTGGTTGCGGTGAGCACATCCCTGGCAGAGACTCAAACATCCACGATGTTGACATCTGTGAATGCAGAAACCTCCACTACGATAGAAGTTTCAACTACTTCGGACACAGGACAGAGGGTCCCACATCAGGTGTAAAAACCATGTCTTGAGCAAAAGGTCCATTCAGGTTTGTCCAAAAATGTCTGTCCAAATTGGGGACTACCCCAAATGGTATACATATACATATATATATATATTCGTAATGGTGAACCATGATGCGACAATTTAGGGTTCGAACTTGGAGAAAAACCATATGATGTGCTCGTGGGGATGATTTCGAGCTTTGAAGCCCCGCTGGTCAATATAACCTGGTCCATGGTCCTTCACGAAGGCTTCTGCAACCATTTCCTTTAGTGACAGGATGATGCCTGTGATGCCTGTGATGCCTGTGATGCCTGTGATGCCTGAAGGTTAGGATGCATGGCTACGCCCGAACCAGTAGAAGTGGGGATGGTCAGTCCAATATCCACATTAAAACTGACATGGACCACCTAACAAGATGGGCTCAAAAGGCAATTTTCCTAGTGAAAGTTGCAACTTTTGGCCTTGATATTGGACTTTTGTCTTCCAGCAAACCTGACTGGTCCTATAATCCAATATTTGGCACATCATTAAGCCATCCATCTGTAGATGTACATTGGTGAAATAATCCACTGCCAGGTTAAGTCCCACATGGTTTATGTTTTAGATTTGTCGAATTCTCAGTGAGTCATCTCGATTCCAGGTACCTGATCTGTATAACTATGTCTGTGTAATTATGTGTATCTATATCCAAACCTATATCTAAATCACTAAATCTGTCTCTCTCTCTCTCTCTACGTGTACACATCACACAACTCATATTCCTCACCTCCAACGAAATCGCTTAGCGGCTTTAGCGGCTTAGCTGTGCCAGGACCTCGCGTCGCGAGTGGCGTTGTGCGGAAATGGCCGCTGCGGCTCCCGGACGAGGAACCGCCGGTGGAGGAGTTCACCCCGGTCTTCATCGAAGCTTGGAGCGACCATATCTGTTATATCTGAGTAACATTTTAACATGGTGGGAAATCACTAAAAGAACAATCCCCCTTTTTTTTTCCGATGGTGTTTTGGTATCATGATCTGATGGCATCCATGGCATCCATGGCATCCATGGCATCCATGGCCGAGCCCAGGAGGAAGAACTAATGGCTCGCAAGGACTTCCGCGTGAACGAGCTGCGGAACATGAGTTGGACCGTGGAGGATCCCAAAAAGGCGGTGTTTTATATGGCGCCTGGGCACGGCAAAGCCATGGAAGGTTGATAGAAGATGGTGGAATGGGATATGTATATTTACACATACTGTATGCATATCTATATTAGAATCTATATCTATATATCTATATATCTATATATATATATATCTATATATATATATATCTATATCTATATATATCTATATCTATATATCAATATTTTTATCATTAGGATAATGAGTCATGAAAAGTCCCAGATGCTTAGTTGATGATTGGGATTTGGGAACCATCAATTTTTTCGGGGCTTTAATCGTGGACCAGGTCTAAGCCAAAAGGCTCAGGTTGGGTGAATTAGACCACAACATCAAACATGGGGTGTAATACTTTAATCATCGGAAAATGGCAATGATGTGAAAGATGGGGTTTAGCCTTCAAAACCTGAGAGATGGACATCAGAAATCCGAATAGAGTCGGATTCAGCAACTTCCCTGGATTCAGAAGCTACGAATTCAGAAACTGGACGTCGGATTCAGGAACTGGAAGTCGTATTCAGAAACTACTCCGTCGTATTCAGAAACTACTGGTTGGTTTAGGGTTCATTTAGGGTTCAGTTTATTTGGGGTTGGTTTAGGATTTCTTTAGGGCTTGTTTAGGGTTGGTTCAGGGCTTGTTTAGGATTGGTTTAGAGTTTCTTTGGGGTTGGTTTAGGATTGGTTTCTTTTTGTGTTCATTATCAAAAACATGGGTATGATGATGAGTCAATGGATCCAATTATTTCCAATACCAAAATAGCTAAAGCACACGGTACTTACTAATGAAGGTTAGACTAGTTACGCAGTAGGATGCACATTGTTTTCCGAGTTTAGTTTGGTTTGGTTTGTCCCGTTGGGCCCGTTGGGTTGATTTTTGACATTCTTTTTGGAGGACATTCTGATATTCCTGCAACTAGAGATTGGCATTGAAAGAGAATCTAGGGCTGGTGATGCTTTCTTCATTAGATGAAATACTTATAGGAGAGCTGGAGAAAAACTGCCGGGAGCTTGGTGAAGGATGACGTTGACGGGGACTCTGATGTTGTGGTGGCTGTGATGGTGATGATGCTGTTGTCGATGATGATGCTGATGGTGGGTGGTGGTGGTGGTGGTGGTGATGATGATGATGATGATGATGATTGGTGATGATTGATGATGATTGATGATGAATGATGAATGATGATGATTATGATGATGATGATGATGATGGATGATGATGATGATGATGATGATGATGATTGATGATGAATGATGAATGATGATGATGATGATGATGGTGGTGATGATGGTGATGGATGATGATGATGATGATGATGATGATGATGATGATGATGATGATGATGATTGATGATGAATGATGAATGATGATGATGATGATGATGATGGTTGGTGATGATGATTGATGATGATTGATGATGATTGATGATGATGATGATGATGGTGATGATGATGATGGTGATGATGATGATGATGATTGGTGATGATTGATGATGATTGATGATTGATGATGATGATGATGATGATGATGATGATTGATGATGATTATGATGATGATGGTGATGATGATGATGATGATGATGATTGTCGTTAAGGGTGTAGACCGTGGGGGGGCGCTTGGTCCCCGGATATTGAGATTTGCTGTGAATGATCTCATCATCTAATCACTTCAAACTCATATATGTACGTAAATTTGGTATCTGATGCAAATGTCTTTGTATTGCTTGTTGGGTCCTTGCCGCTTCCTGGGAGTCCTTCCGAGCCTTCCACCATCAGCCTTGCCCCTGGACCTCCAGGTATGCTGTGGACCCATCGAGCGGATTCTTCTCTTACCGCCGCGCACGCCTGAACGGCCCTACATCTGCTATGACCGCCAGAGTATGGGGATTGTTGAAAAGACTTGGGCTTGCCGAAACCCAGGGATACTCTGGGTAAGATTAATGATTAATATAACTCATGGTCAAATCCTTTTTTTTTTTTTCTAAAATCTTCATTTTCGCCGCTTGAACTGCCATTTTTTGCTGGTGAAATCTCGATTTTTCCTGCTTGAAACACCATTTTTGCTGGTGACATCTCCATTTCTTAATGCATAAAAACTGCAAATTCATACCTGCCTTGGAGTGCCGAGCCAGGACTGTGATGCAATCCTGCAAATCAATCGCTTGGCAGGGCCCGATTGCACCAAGGTCGGGGTCGAAGGGTCGAAGCAGAGGGGTTGGGTATCCAGAAAAAACCATGGAATTTGGAAGAACATTGGGGAAATTCACCAACAAAAAATAGTGAACCATGATGATTTAGCTTATTTTTGTGGTGGCAAAGAGTCGATTCGAACATTTAACATCTAAAAATAGACTTTAATTCTTTTTTAAGTTGGTGACGTTTGGTTCTGTAAAAACATGATCTTGGTCAACAAGTGATCTGGAGATAGGTCAACACTGTAAGAAACCATGATAATCTGGTAAGCCGAATCCGTTAGGCAACCTGCTCTTGGGGGTTTTATGGTATCCCTTAAAGGTTTCTTCCATTAAGTAAATGGGGTATGTTTTTTTTTTGGTTTACCACATTGGCGAGTCGGCCAAGCCCCAGAAATGATGGTGAGGATTGTGGGAATCATTGCAAACATTTCTAGCGTTGAACTATGATAAGTTGCCCAGCTGATTAAATGAGGTGGGGAAATCAAGAAACAAACCAGCAAAGCGGAGATACTAGCCAACCAACATGATTATATTACCAAAAAAGAATAAGGATTGGAAAGAACACGAATGTGGATGTTTCGAAGCTGAAGAAACAAACCCGAACAAGAATGAGGAATCTCTTCATACACATGCAGATGAATCTGTATGTAAATGTATATGTATATGTATATGTATATGTATATGTATATGTATATGTATATAAAAATGTATATGTATATAAAAATATGTGCATGTACATGCACATGTACATGTATATGTATATGTGAATGTATATGTATCTGTATATGTATATGTATATGTATATGTATAGCATATTCATATGCATGCCTACATAAATATATACATAAATATATACATACATCCATGCATGCATACATGCATACATATACACATACACATACACATACTCACACACATACACATTCACATATACATTCACATATACATTCACATACATACACATACATATACATACATATACACACATATACAAACATATACATACATATACAAACATATACATACATATACACACATATATATACATATACATATATACATATACATATATCTATATATACACATACATATACGTACACATAAATACAAATACATACAGATACATACAGATACATACAGATACATACACATACGTACAAATACAGACACATAAACAGACATACACAGACATACACATAGATACACATAGATACACATACATACACACACATATGCATAGATATACATAGATATGCATAGATATACATAGATATACATGGATATACATAGACATACATAGACACACATAGACATACATAGATATACATAGATATACATAGATATACATAGACACATAGATATAGACATAGACATAGATATAGATATAGATACATACGTACGTACGTTGCAAATGAAATGTATATATAAAGAATTATAAAAACATACAAATGCAAAATGAATAATCCTTTCTCCCTTTTATCCCCCAATGCATAGTTTAGGGGGGTAGGGATAAAGCAAGTCACCATTTCCAGTGCGAGGACATCACGCACAAAATCTGCCACAAGTTGCTGCAGCTGCTGGAGAGGCGCGACATGATGTTCTCGAGCAGCGATTTGCGCTGGTGGAACGTACGGCGTCTGGGTGGAAACATGGGCTGTGAGCCACAACACATGGTTGATTTCATGCGTTAATCAGCAAAACATGGTGGTTTAATGATCAAAACTAGGGTTTAGCCATCAAAAATACGGTTTAACCATCCAAACATAGGGTTTAATGGGCAATGTATTGGATCTTAACACACCAGAATGGAGGATTTCACTCGCAAAGAGTGGGTGGTTTCATTTATATCACCCCAACAATAGCGATTTTATTAGGAGAAAATGAGGATTTGAGTTGTGGTGCCAAAAAGCAAACACCCACCAGGACCTTCACCCAGAAAAATGCCAGGTTACGGAGCAGCAATGGGAGGTTCAATCAGCCAACCAACATTGAAATACCGGAAATACCTATGAGGTTATGATTATTTGAACTTGCCTTTACTGTATGAGCTATGTTCATGATATAATTTGTACTACATGATACTACATGAACCATGCCTTACATGATCTTAGAGGGGATAAACCATTGTGATCCTTTGGTCTAGTTGTAAACACGCCTCCAGAAAACCCAGGTCGAATAATCTATTCAAATCAGCCTCAAATATCGGGTTCCAATCATTTATATTTGGATTTGATCGTGACTTGCTTTTCGATATTTCTCTGGGAGGAGCCCTCTTTTTGGGATGGGCAAAGGTACCGACCAACAATGGGGGGGTCAAACGGTCAAACCATTGGAACATGTCCTGGTGGCCGGGGGAGGCAGTTGGAGGTTTGGAGGAGTTGAGGTCTTCGGGTCATTTTTGCTGGAGGGTCTTCGGGTCTTCAAAGCTTAAGCCGCATGTTCTGGTATGGTTTCCCAAAAAAGGCTGCTTTGAAGTGCCATTTGCTGTTCGGGTAGCAGTCTCCCCTCACTTTCTGGGGCAGCTCAGATTGCTCGGACATCGTCTGTAGGTGCCCCAATTGTGGCGGCCAAAGCCATCTAACCCTCGAAAATGAGCTGTACAGATGAACATCAACACAAATTCACACACATCCATATATATAATCATATATATATATATAATCATGTATATAGATATACATATGTATATATATATATCTATATGTACATATGTGTATATATATATATATATCTATATGTATATGTATGTGTATATATATACATATACATATACATATACATATACTTATACTTATACATATATATATATATGTATATACATATATAATATAATATACATATATATATATAAATACATATACATATATATATATATACATACATAAGTACAAAGCACGGGCAAAAGGGGCCCCAGAAATGCGACCAGAAGCCGAGAAGCCGAGAAGCCCGACACAAGCCGAGAAGCCGAGAAGCCGAGAAGCCGCGAAGTACGACACAAGCCGAGAAGCCGAGAAGCCGAGAAGCCGAGAAGCCGAGAAGCCGAGAAGCCCGGCACAAGCCGAGAAGCCAAGAAGCCGAGAAGCCGAGAAGCCGAGAAGCCACCGGGCAAGCCGAGAAGCCGAGAAGCCGCGAAGCCGAGGAGCCGCCGGGCAAGCCGAGAAGCCGAGAAGCCGCGAAGCCGAGAAGCCGCCGGGCAAGCCGAGAAGCCGAGAAGCCGAGAAGCCACCGGACAAGCCGAGAAGCCGAGAAGCCGAGAAGCCGAGAAGCCACCGGACAAGCTGAGACAGTAGCCCTGGAACCCCCTCTGAACACTATGTTGCATCTTCACCATCACAAGACATCAACTCCCCAACCCCCTCTGAACAATACGTTGCACCTTGAGACATCAGCCCCGCCACCCCCTTTGAATATATGTTGCATCTTCGAAGATCAAGCCAGCGACCCCCTCTGAACACTACCTCGCCCCGTTAAACTTCTACATTCATTGAAGATCTTCAATGAGGGTTTAATTCTCCCAGCCCCTTCAAACTTCTACATTCATCGAAGATCTTCAATGAGGGTTTAATTCTCCCAGCCCCGTTAAACTTCTACATTCATTGACGATCTTCAATGAGGGTTTAATTCTCCCAGCCTCTTTAAACTTCTACATTCATTGACGATCTTCAATGAGGGTTTAATTCTCCCAGCCCCGTTAAACTTCTACATTCATTGAAGGTCTTCAATGAGGGTTTAATTCTCCCAGCCCCTTCAAACTTCTACATTCATCGAAGATCTTCAATGAGGGTTTAACTCTCCCAGCCCCGTTAAACTTCTACATTCATTGAAGATCTTCAATGAGGGTTTAATTCTCCCAGCCCCGTTAAACTTCTACATTCATTGACGATCTTCAATGAGGGTTTAATTCTACCAGCCCCGTTAAACTTCTGCATTCATCGAAGATCTTCAATGAGGGTTTAATTCTCCCAGCCCCGTTAAACTTCTGCATTCATTGAAGATCGTCAATGAGGGTTTAATTCTCCCCAGCCCCGTTAAACTTCTACATTCATTGAAGATCTTCAATGAGGGTTTAATTCTCCCCAGCCCCGTTAAACTTCTACATTCATGGACGACCTTCAATGAGGGTGTAATTCTCCCAGCCACGTTAAACTTCTACATTCATCGAAGATCTTCAAAAAGGGTTTAATTCTCCCAGCCCCGTTAAACTTCTACATTCATTGAAGATCTTCAATAAGGGTTTAATTCCTCCCAGCCCCGTTAAACTTCCACATTCATCGAAGATCTTTAATGAGGGTTTAATTCTCTCCAGCCCCGTTAAACTTCTACATTCATCGAAGATCTTCAATGAGGGTTTAATTCTCCCAGCCCCGTGAAACTTCTACATTCATTGAAGATCTTCAATGGGGGTTTAATTCTCCCAGCCCCGTTAAACTTCTACATTCATTGACGATCTTCAATGAGGGTTTAATTCTCCCCAGCCCCGTTTAACTTCTACATTCATGGACGATCTTCAATGAGGGTTTAATTCTCCCCAGCCCCGTTAAACTTCTACATTCATGGACGATCTTCAATGAGGGTTTAATTCTCCCCAGCCCCGTTTAACTTCTACATTCATGGACGATCTTCAATGAGGGTTTAATTCTCCCCAGCCCCGTTACACTTCTACATTCATGGACGATCTTCAATGAGGGTTTAATTCTCCCCAGCCCCGTTAAACTTCTACATTCATTGACGATCTTCAATGAGGGTTTAATTCTCCCAGCCCCGTTAAACTTCTACATTCATGGACGATCTTCAATGAGGGTTTAATTCTCCCGAGCCCCGTTAAACTTCGACATTCATTGACGATCTTCAATGAGAGTTTAATTCTCCCCAGCCCCGTTAAACTTCAACATTCATGGACGATCTTCAATGAGGTTTTAATTCTCCCCAGCCCCGTTAGACTTCTACATTCATTGACGATCTTCAATGAGGGTTTAATTCTCCCCACCCCCGTTAAACTTCTACATTCACTGACGATCTTGAACGAGGGTTTAATTCTCCCAGCCCCGTTAAACTTCTACATTCATGGACGATCTTCAATGATGTTTTAATTCTCCCCAGCCCCGTTAAACTTCTACTTTCTTTGACGATCTTAAATAAGGGTTTAATTCTCCCCAGCCCCGTTAAACTTCTACATTCATGGACGATCTTCAAAAAGGGTTTAATTCTCCCCAGCCCGGTTAAACTTCTACATTCATGGACGATCTTCAATGAGGGTTTAATTCTCCCCAGCCCCGTTAAACTTCTACATTCATTGACGATCTTCAATGAGGGTTTAATTCTCCCAGCCCCGTTAAACTTCTACATTCATCGAAGATCTTCAATGAGGGTTTAATTCTCCCAGCCCCGTTAAACTTCTACATTCATTGACGATCTTCAATGAGGGTTTAATTCTCCCAGCCCCGTTAGACTTCTACATTCATCGAAGATCTTCAATGAGGGTTTAATTCTCCCAGCCCCGTTAAACTTCTACATTCACTGACGATCTTCAATGAGGGTTTAATTCTCCCAGCCCCGTTAAACTTCTACATTCATGGACGATCTTCAATAAGGGTTGAATTCTTTCAGCCCCGTTATATATAAACTTTACATTCATTGACGATCTTCAATGGGGGTTTCCGTGTCGCGCCGCGACGCAACGCCGTGTGCACTCTTGCAGAAGGAAGCGTCGCAGCGCCAACAGCGTCGCAGCGTCGCTCCCGCGTCGCAGCGTCGCAGCGCCAACAGCGTCGCAGCGTCGCTCCCGCGACGCAGCGTCGCAGCGCCAACAGCGTCGCAGCGTCGCTCCCGCGTCGCATCGTCGCAGCGCCAACAGCGTCGCAGCGTCACTCCAGTGTCGCAGCGTCGCAGCGCCAACAGCGTCGCAGCGTCACTGGCCCAACGGCAGCGTCGCAGCGTCCCAGCGCCACCCGCCCCCCGGAGCGTCGCAGCGTCGCAGCGTCGCAGCGCCACCCGCCCCCGGGAGCGTCACAGCGTAACGTCGGAAACCCACGCTTCGGCCCCCTTTGCCCCTGCACTGCATATATATATATATATACATATACATATATACATATATATATATATATTTAAATACATGTATATGTATATATATACACATTGCAATTGAACTCCATGAAAAATACACTTCCCAAAAAAACTAATTCCACCAAACGGATCCTCAAATCTCATCAAACAGGACCTAAAATCCCAACCATCCAACCACCCATCGGTTCCATTCGTTCTGGTGCCCACCGAGGAATGACACGGCGCTGCAGCTGCCGGGCATCACCCACGCGCACCACCTGCCATCGCCGGACATGCTGCTGCGGAACAAGGTGAAGCGCTCGCAGCCGCCGACGCCCGGCGAGAGATCGAGGGAAACAATGGGTGGCGGTGAGATGACAGTAATGATCTGTACATATCTCATATATCACATGTGGACAGTGTATATATATATATATACATGTTGTATCTGTATGGAACACAATGACACATCATGTGTAAGTTATAGAAGTTGTTTGCCCCAAAAAGGATAGTGTCCTTGAATACATCGTTTTTTCGAAGCATGGACACTTGCTCCAAGGGATCATCTCTGTTGGGGATTGCCATAAAATCTTGGAGGACACAGATGGCTACTATACTTGGTGTAAAAGATGGGCTTGGATTATCCATTGGGCCATCACTAGAGGGAATCATCACCTTCAAATCCATGTCTCGGGAAGCCCGGCATCAGGGGGATGGTCGGTGGTTTTTGGATCCAATGTTAACTGTGATGCTGTGTTGCTTCAAGGCATTTCAAGGCGGGCCAAGGCTTTTCAACGTTTTGCCCATATGGCCTTTATATTGGTACAAAATATTTCAAATATTTCGGTTGCATAGGCTCGACTGCTATCGTGGCAAAGTCCATTGGCGGCAGCTTCGACTGTCAACACAGTTACAAGGCTATGGTTTAAAAAATGTGTTCATTTGGTAAGATCCTCTCTGTGCTTGGTACATCACCATGATTTGATTGTATTTGATTGTCTACCTTGTTTATTGTTTTTTTTTGGAACAACATATAGTATTTATAGTTTCTAGATGTTTCTAGCAAAAGTATCCTGAAACCAATGAGTCTGTTGTTCAAACTGTTCAAACCCAGCTGATGGCACCGAGGCACTACTTTCTGACCTTTCAGGGGGCGCGCAATGTTGGGATGGAAGGTGAGGGCATTCCAGAACTCACATGGGAAGGTGTTGGGATCGGGATGGATCAAACTGATCAAACATTAGGGAATGGAACATTTACCGCTTGTATGTGGATGTAACTGATGTAACATGAAGCTTGTGTGTTTGGTGGGAGGGTGGGAAGCGCTTTTGGTTCAAGTGGCAGTGCAACCACAATTTAACATCAATCTCCGACCTTGTCAAATTGGCAGGGGAGGGGGTGGATTAGTAGGGCATTGGTGGTCTAGACACCCACGTTGGAAACCCAGGGAGATACTTATAGATATCCCCTGGGCTTGGCACTAGCAGTGATCGTGCTGGTGACACTCGTGGGTGGGGTTTGCTGTTGGCCACGATACCCTAGAAAGCTGCCACAAGAAGTAGAGCTGCCATCCATGGATCCGACACCCGCTGAGCTGCCCTGTGGTACGGCGAGGAGACGCCGGTCCTTCAAAGCTGGTGGGTATAGATCCTTTAGAAACTATATCTCCAGGATCAAGGACTCGCACGTCATGGCGGGCTTTCCTTGGACAGATCTTTTGCAGAGAAATTCGCAAAAATGTATGAGATCAGTGCTCAGGGGCCTCGCTAGCCCGACCAGATCGGAACCATTCGACCTGATTGCAGTGTACAAGGTTGCAGCTCGTTTGAAGGCTCCGGTGACTGATGGAGCTCCTTGGCACCCCATGCCGTTGATTGTGTGTGCAACCTTCTTCGTGCTGCGGGAGATTGAAGGCATTCAATTGTAAGATGTGACCTTTGGCGAACGGGACGTCACGTTGAATTTGCCTGCTTCGAAGGTCGATTGGAAGGCAAAGGGCACGAGGAGATCATGGCAATGCATTTGTGGCACATACCCCATTTGCCCTTATCATGTCTTGAAAGGGCAGGTGTCGAATTTGGGCACAACTGATGTGCAGTCGCCTCTGTTCAAGCCACGCTAGGGCCGCTAGGGTGCGAGCACCTGTGATGCGGAACGTATGGAAATCAGCCATGCGCCTGACAGGTTGCCATCACTATTCAGTTGTTGGGCAGATGGGGGTCTGATGCTGTGCTTTCGTACCTGGCAGAAGCGCCACTTACCAACCTGTGCGAGCGTCCGAAGCGTCCGCCCAATGAGGCCAGATTGGCTGGCATGAACACCGAATCTCAGCCTTCCACACGTTCAGTACCAAGCCGCGTTGCGTTGACGAGTTGGTCTATTCGTCAAGAATGCGGGCTGAATACCTGGACATGCAATCAAATCATTGTTTGGCCCATGACAATAATATGACACCATCACCAATTGCTTGACACCCACATGGCCTGTGGGTTTGGCACCCATGCAATTGACATAGGTCAAAGACAGCAGCTTCGTTTAAAAGTTCCGAGTGTGGTGGGTGGGAGGTTACGCACATTGTGAATGCTCGGATAATTATGGTTAAATAACGCCCAAGAATGGTTAATGGAAAGCCCAAGTTCCCCAAGGAAGATCATGTATGAATTGTGTTTTTTTCCATATCTAT